AAAAAGAAAAGCTTTCATCGATGCGATCCGGGAATGGGCTGAGGTAGGGAAACTGTCTAAAAACTTCGTTTTCGGAATACGATTTGAAGGCATAGTCCACGCAGATCGTATAGGCGGACCCAGTCAACTGTTGTGCTCCCTTCACTTCTTCCTTAAAGGGAGGATATTCAGAGTAGCAGGACGTAACGGTTGACTGGTCACGCCTATACGGTGAACATGGGCCAAAGGCGCTGTTTGTCGACGGGGGGCATTTTGTACTACCATTGCTTCCCTAGTTCCGGTTTACAAATCTCACCCTGGTAAAACTTGTGAACCCTTGTGAAGCTGGTGCAAGATCGTCTAGCCACCATCCTAAAACGTGTCAACTCGAGAAAAGGCTACCTAGATGGGTCGGCACATCTATGGAAAGCAGAATGCCCCCCCCCCCCGTCGACAAACTGCGCCGGGCTAAAGTACTGGAATGTTTCTAGGCCTACGGATCCCTACACACTTTTTGGTTCGGGCCAATGCCGATTGTAAACATTTGCGATTACTCCACTGCTGTGGATGCAATGGTTAAAAAAGGCTCAACGTTCGCCGATCGAACTATATTTTATATGTTCAGGCTGACGAGAAGTTCGTTACTTTTTATCGCTCAAAATAGGCAGTATTTCTACAATATGCATAGGCAGCCGTTCGGTATGGGCTAGGGGACCTCATGTGTAACCTGCAAAAACAAACGCAGGAGCCTTTCCTGGCTGAACCAAATAACTCACCGTGCCGCCGCAACTCGGATCTCATGACCGTCACCGTCAGCTCCAGAATAGTTTTCCATCCATGGGAGGTTCTTCTATGCCATACTCATCTAGGAGGAATAACCACTGAGAGTTATATCAATTGACCACAGCTAAGCGAGTTTGTTGTAGCTGCAAAAGTTCCGCAACTCGTCTACCTTCCGGGAATAATAAAAGGCGACGTTGTCTGGGAAGATTAAAAAAGTGGCTTGCATATGGGCTGCAACCCCTCCCCCGCGGCAAATCATTGCATAGACTATATCGCGCACGAGAAGTCTTTGGACGCAGACTGCGTAGCGAATCCCCAAAAATTAAATATTGACGCCTAATGCTTTGTCGTGTGGTACGGACACTCTGTGATGTCGTTGATACGTGGTGTCAGTACGACCCCGTTTTATTCCGGCCCTCTCTACGATACAATTATGGCAAGTTTCCCTGGCTCCCTAGGGTATAGTAGGCAAATACGTGGAAATGGAAAATCCATGAATTTAGAACCGTTGAAACTTTGCTCCGCTCCGGCCAGGCACAACGCCTTTTTCCAGCCTACGAACCGCCTACGAATGGCCCACCAACCATGCTATGCACTGTTTGCGTTTTACGCCTTTTTTTTTCGATAATTCCATTTCATAGAAAATCGTGGAATCATCGGAACAAATGGAACTCCTTGGGTGGAACAGCGTCGCTTTGCACTGCATACACTTCGAAATTTCGGTCTCGGAAGAAACATAATCGAAGAGAGAATTATGTTCGAATTTGAGATCGCGTAAGTCGTTATGAAACGAACTATTAAAGGCAACAGGGGGCTAATAGGTAGATTACAAGAGCATGAAACTAGCGACTCATTCAGAATCATGTGCTCTTGAGGGTTCCGAAGAACATACGATAATATGGATGCTGGCAGTTCCTCTAGTCACAACATTGGGCAAAAGACATTTTGTCCCATCTATTAGGAGTTGCAAGTTTAGAGGCCGAGCGTGAACAGTCGAAGAAAAGGAGGACTTTGGAATGTTCGCTAGAGCCGCGTTCATACTTCACGACGTGAGCGGTTCAGTCGCTCGATTCCCAAACAGGGCACATCATTGGTTGGGGATTTTAGTCGAGTCTGTACTACCCCCCCCCTTCTGTTGAGGGTTTCACGACCCCTCCCCCTCCGACCCTATGCCCCTCCTCGTCGAATCGAGCTGTCGAGCGCGGGGGGGGGTATATATAGTACGCATGAAACAGGAAAATCACAAAAAGTCAACCACTCCTACAACGCCAAAACGTAAATACGACCCCCCCCCAACAATGACCAAGTACGACCCCCCCTTTACAACGTCCGTGAAGCGAGAAAAATCAACTATCAAAATAAATTTTTCCCAGCCCAAATACGACCCCCTCTCCTGGCGGCCAAATACGACCCCCCTATTGGGGATTCCCCAACAACGATGTGCTCTGTTCCCAAGTCGAGCGGCTGCGATCTAGTGGCTGGATCCCGGTGGTCAAAGTAAGTTCTACTCCGGATGTGATTAACGGATGTAGCAGGCCAATGACCAGCGATCACTATCGGTCGATTTACTTCGTGATCTGGGAATCGCGCAACTGAATTGAGTCCCCAAGTATAAACGTGGCCTGAGTGCGTTTGCGACGAGGGAATAAAAGAATTGGCGAATCCACAATTGATACACATCTAGTCTTTTGGCGTTTTTGCAGGAACATTGAATTGCTAATTCACCTTCTTGCCCTAGTCGCGAAATCGATATCTATACTTTCCTTCTTGACACGTTTCGCTTAAACGCCAAATTGCTTATTCTGCTATTCTCCCTTTACTAAGTGGGAACGAATCCTATACGCGAGAACCGTTAGGTACGCAGGTAGATGGTACAGCCTTGTTCAGATGCTGGGCTATGTCAGGGAGGCTGGGTTTGACCCGGCGCCAGTCCTTTCCTCACCAGCTGTTGAAGCGAAAAGGCGAGAAGAATCGGAGGAAAAGTTCTGGCGCTGCGCAGAAACCGGCTGTTTATCCACCGCGCGGTTCGCGGGATCGCAGCGTTACTGCTTGCAGGGAGGCGTATTTCCATTATCGGCCTAGCCTCAGGAACCTCCTCGAGGTAATAATAGTGAGAAGTGGGAGCCCTACGTCGGCTGGAGCGAGCCCAAGCCTATACTGTTTTAGGAAAACTTGAAACCAGAGTGTCCATTTGCAGATGTGAAGAACTGGACAAGCGCTTGAAGACAGAGGGAAGATCCATAAATGCTCATGAAAATCTCGAGTTGTTGGATAGGAAACATCATTAACAGAATGCTATTCACGGAGAGATTCGAGAAGGTGAGCAGCAAAGTTTAAATCGTTCTCTATTTTACTATTTCTGCTCCTTCACCTTCACCGGAGGTTCAGTCCACGCTGTCCGTGAAGGCAGAATATCCCCAATGAGCCTTTCTCAATGAAGCAAAGCGATCCTAGTCAGGCAAACATAATTCTTATGTGCGCTTTGCGCCCAAACGATCAACGTAAATGGTGCCTTCGTTCAATAAAAAAAGCTGCCCACGAGGATGCGTATAGTTTGAATGGAAATTACTGCTCTTCCTAAGGTTGACAAATTTGATTTTATAGAAAGAGGCAGAGAGATTCTTCTTTCTGAAGAAGAGGTTGGATGACATGATGGAAAACGTCTCGCTATTCGACATGCTTGTTGAAGAATGGAATGTGAATTGGCCGTTAATCAGATCGAGAACAGACCGTCTGTTGGAGCCGATCTATACCGTCATGGATTTCATTCGTAATCAAATTGAGCAGAGGTTCGTGGCCCACTGTACTGGGTAAAAGCTGAACAGACCAAGTCTGAAGCTGAAGCTTTGCCATCTATCAATCCCTGTTGTGATGCGGCATGCAGTCTACTTCTATTAGAAATTGTAGTGACCTTTTGAAGGCCATATAGCCTGTACAATGTTCCTAAGGTTCATTTCGACGGATAGTGACATGGTCGCGATCCAGCGAGTGACCATTGGCGGCGGAGTCCGCTTATTCACACAATAGTGCTCCTTACTTCAGCTAGAAAAGAGAAATCGCCATGGAGGGGCCCATTCCACACCCTCAGACACCACTTGGCCAGATTGCGATGATATCACTATGTGTGCCATAAGCGCCTGATACACCTCAAACTTATGGAACCTTGTCATCTAAGGCTTTTCTGTCCAGGAAACGTGAAATAGCCAACGGAACTCACGTCCTGCAAGGCGAAGGCGACGATTTTGTTGATGCGTTTCTGATTCAAATGAAGAAAGATAAGGAAAGTGGAGTATCAACAAGCTTTGAGTGAGGCTCTATATGATTCTTTCTTCAAATGAGTTGCGTTCTATACCCCACCATTTTTCAGCGAAGAAATGCTGGTCATGTCACTGCTCGACCTGTGGATAGCTGGGCAAGAAACTACAATTACAACATTGGAATGGGCTTTTTCCTTCCTGCTTCTTCACCCGCATGTGAGGGTTCCTAGGTTCATCTTGGTACAGGCGTTGGTTCTGCCCCAAATGTTTGCCATAGATTCCAGGTGAAAGGGAAAGTGGAGGCAGAACTACTTTCCCTCACAAAAGGTCGACGCTTGCTCTCAATCGCGGATAGGCCAAACACTCCGTACTACAACGCCACACTGACTGTGAGTTTAGGCTCTCAGGGCCGATTGACGTGTGTATCTGCGCTGGCTATGTGGGCGGAAGCCAGGCTTGTTATTGTGCTTCTCTATTGAATCCACTACTCCTTTGCATCAACCAGGATGATTCGGGCTGCGCCAACGGGGAAGACACAATGTTAAGACCGAGCCCGCCCATGCGGCTAGCGCCGAACTCTGTCTTTGAGATGCGTTAGGAAATTTGTTTCCAGGAAATTCACAGATGCGCTACACTACTCCGATGAATCTGTGGCGAAACACATCTGAAGACACTGCTGTTGGATCCTATGTGATTCCTAAAGGAACCACCATTACAGCTCAGATCTCTCTTATTATGACTGATGAGAAATACTTCAAGAACCGGAACGAGGTAGAGAAATTGCCTCAAACAGCTCGAATGTCCAGATTAAGCTGACTGTGTAGCTATTGTCCCGTTTTTTCGTTATCTTACGGGAACGAGGAGGAGGGACAAATCACTGAGAAAACCCACTACGGTCTGGGTGACTCCGCCCAAGGGACATTCGATGGGACATACCGTTAGCGCAACGCCGACGGGTTTTTATTAATATCTCCAAGTCTCATTATTCTTCTGAACTAATGATCAGCAATTTCATCCGCCTTTTTCAATTTTTTACGTAATCTGCATCTTCAGTTTGAATGGCGGGTAACTCGATGAAGGGGGGGGGGGAGGGGAATAGGGAAAACTATGTCACGTGGTTCGCAATGCGCTGAATATAATCCATATTACGGGTGTCCACGGGTATAGCACGTGAAGTGTGAAATGACGCTGACATGACGTCCTCCCCGGCCATTACTGCCTTCTCTAGTATAAGAATCCTCTTCCCCGTCTTCATCCTACCAACAAACTTCTTGAGTTTTCGTTTCGTCTACCCCTTTCATTTTCCAAAAATAGTAGCAGTTTTTACTAAAAAATGGCGTTGAGCTGGGGAAATCAGCAATCGAAAAAAATTTTCTCGCGGTTTGGTATCATTTCTTTCAACTCCTCATTGACCGAATTCAACCCCTTCCCGGCGAGCAAGTACGGACCTCTGTTCGTAACCCGAAGGTCCTCGTGATTTCATTTTCAGTTCAATCCCGACCGCTATCTAAATGGTAACAAGCTGGATCAAAAGGTGGTTCCCTTCGGTCTGGGAAAAAGATCATGTCTCGGAGAGTCGCTTGCTCAAGCGGAATTATATCTGGTGAGGTTTATAATTATCACAAAACTACAGTCGCTTTTCTGCTCACGCTCGTGGCTTTGTTTAGACGCCAGCTCGCAGCCTGTCATATGCGGAACTGTTGAAGCAGCTCAAGTGACAACGATCGGTCCGAAAAGCGTGCTGGAGCTGCGTGCAAATACCGTCCCGATCACGAACCGCCCAGCGTCTGCAAGTGAAAATGACCGTATTTATGGGCCGACTAGGTCGCAAAAACATACCATGTCACTTTTCAAGATCATCGCCAACATTCTGCTTCGTTACAATATCAATGCCGATCCTTCACACATGCCAAGCATGAAAGCCATGAATGACTTCCGAGCCATCAGAAAGCACAAGCCTTATCAGCATTCAATTTGAACGACGGTCATCTTATTGAATCCTTACTTGTTTGTATTTAAGTCATTTTTTTTAATTTTGCATGTATTCTTCCGTAAATATTTTTTCTGTTCTTGCGTTTACCCTCATTTCAACTGAAGCTACTGAATCTGTTCAAAACGAAAAGTAAAGTTTACCGACGCTCTCGGTCCGGCGATGACAAGACCTTAGTCCTGTTTGCTGCGGATGCTAGGGCATTTCATGGGCTCATTAGTCAGTTTTCGGCGCCAGTTCGTCCTTCTCCAGTTGTAAATATCTTCTTCTAGTTTACTCGAATACACGTCAGAGCGCGCCCCAGCAATTTTGCTTGGACCGCTCAGAGTGCTCTTAGGAGGAATTGGCTTGATTTCCTGTTTTTTTTTTCTTTTTTGATTGCAATTGATTTAGGTACCAGAGTTTGTTTTGAACTGCGAGGGAAGATAGGTGAAAGCCTATATGGCCTTCCTTTTCTATTCTCTTTTCTTAATTAGGATAGAAACTGAGCAAAAAGCGAGAGGGGGCCTCATTCAGGATTGTTACTTTTTCCATTTTTCGCGCTTACTTATACATAAACTTATGAAGTTTCTTCCTCCTCAGGGGGGGGGGAGGGGAAGAAACTTCATAAGTTTATGTATAGGGGGGGTCGTACCGAAACCCCCAAAAAGGGGGGGTGCGTAACCAGGCTCGACAAAATTCCCAGTCGAATTGCTGGGCCGCTGATAAGGCGCTGTACCTTGCCACATTTGGGTGGAGATGCCAGTCGCGTGTGAGGTAAATGCTCCCTCTTCACTCACTTTCTCGGCCCGACAATGGTAGATCCTCTGCAGCTGCTGGCCGCGTCACCTCATAGAGGGGATGGATTGTTGGTGTACCGACGCGGGAGACGGCCGAAGAGAAATCGTGAATCTATCCGCATCGTCGCGCGCAGCAATGCGTGGCGGCGTACTCCTCTCGATTTGCCAGCTATACCTTCGCTTGAAGCATCGGATCCACTGGAGACAACGCACCATGTGAGTCACTTATCTCGCATTCCATACAGTGCTACAGGGGGGGGGGCGAAAAACAAAGTCCGCTTTGCTTCATTGACTTTCGAGGCGCTATAGGTTACACTTTATAAATTCTGATCGGACATTTCTACCACCATATTAAAGAGCATATCAAATACTATTATGACACTTCGCCACAGCCTTCTGGAGGAGCGCCATCGAGAGATTCTGGCACGCAACCGCGATGTGGTACCTGAGATGCGTGGGGAAAAAAAAAAGAAAAAAACATAAGTCGATTTCTCCGCCACCGTAGACCACCCTATTTAACTCCGCCCGAACTAGATAATTGAGTGGGTTCAGGTCAGGGGACACACTTCAATATTACATCTTCTTCAGGTACGAAACGGTTCAGGTTTCTATTCGAAGTAGGCGGAAGTTTCTCAAACAACCTTAGATTCCATGTGGTGGCACCCAAACCTGTAGCAGCACAAGGTCTCCAAGAAGGTACGGGCGACCACATGTAGGGAGGATATTCTTCTCGAGTTACTTGATGTAACCGCCAGCGCTCACCTTCAGTCGGGGTCTACAAAGAAAATATCGGTCTTCCCATTCCAGGTGCCCCGGTCCATACCTCAACGCCGCTCCTATGACTAACTCGGGTGAAGATGATGTCCTTAGACAGTAGCGACGTTGTTTCGAAAGCTGCTGTCGATGGTTGGAGGTCTTCCAGATTGAGAGTACTAGTCTCCAGGTAGCTACCCATGGGATGACTCCACACTAGAAGTTTCGCAGCTGTTTGGAGGTGACATGAATTCCAAAGTCTTCTCCAGTCAGGCTGCGACTGGAGATGACTTCATATTTTGGTGTACATGAAGGTGATGGGCGAGGGCCAGCTCCTGCTTATCGAGGAACATCTTGGGTATCTCCGCCCTGGTACTCGTATCCACATCTTCTCTCTGGGCTTGCCAAAAACTTTTATGACGATTATGATATATGCTGACTCTGGTCGTAAGTGTGACTTTTTTGCCCCTCCCCCTCCCTGTATTCTCGACCAGTACTCGTCGCACTATCAGGCGTCGCATGTTACGCGCGGCGAATAACGATTCTTTTGCCACATATCCCTTCAAACCGCGTACTGAACTATGCCTTCACACTGAGGGTATGTCGAATCAACTATCAAGAAATTCTACCGCTACTCTTTCGCGTATTGTGGCCCTCCCAACCGATACCACTTCTGAGTATCTTCAGGGCGAGAGCTGAAGACAGGCAATGGGTGTGCACACAAGCTCAATTACCTCTCTTGTGGTGAGACCAGCAATAGTCCGCCTAGTCAAACGTGACTGCCTGCAGGTGCGAGGAATTAGATAAGCGTTTGAAAGCCGAAGGACGATCCATCAATGCCCACACAAACTTTGAATTGATGGTTGGAAACATCATTAACAGAATGCTATTCACAGAAAGATTCGAGAAGGTAGGTTAAAATTGGTTATTTCCGATTTTGCTGAATTTTTTTCCCATTTCACTTCTTCCCAAAGGGTATTTGAGTTCAAAGGACGCCAAAATCAATTTGAAACAAAGGTGCTCACCTTCATTAGAACGATTTCTTTTTTTACAGAAACAAGAAGAGTGATTCTTCTTTCTCAAGAAGAGGCTGGATTATATGATGGAGCACTTCTCGCTATTTGATATGCTTATCGATGAGTGACTGTGAACTGGCCATTTTATAAACACAGATCGGAACGTCTGATGGAACCCCAGTATACCATAGCAGATTTTATTCGGGGTCAAATCGAACAAAGGTATGTGACCTAGGAAACTGAAACGTGTCTTGAAAAGGGCTCCATTAGTTGAACATTGAGAACCTGACCGATGTGAAAATGATTTCGTGCGCGGTTACGCACCGCGAAGCCTGTCAGGCAAGGTTTCATACTGCAAGGCAGCGTCATACTTCGACCGTCGGTACGCGTCAGAGTGCGTCCCAGCGCAATTACTTGAACCGCTTCTAGTGCTCTTAGGAGGAACTGGCATGGTTTATGTAATTTTCTTTGAATTGCTGTCGCGGATATGAGCGGCTGCCTAACGCCATCTCTGTGAACTTTTGCACCAAGCGGCTTCGCTTATATTCGTTTGGCAGCTTTTACACAGTGCAATAGGTCTCAGGTGAAGTGAAACGTGTTACTAGAACATGAACTAGCAGAAGGGACTGGCGAAGGTTAAAGATGCCCCTCCTAAGCCGAACCGCATCTCAATGAGCCTATCATTTCATTTTGGGGCAGCTTTGCTAACTATGATCCCCATCTCGACAGAGACACCGACCACTCCAATCAACTATCGGAGATAGTGGTGTTTGCGGAACCTGGCCGTGCAGGAAGGTAGACATTACCTCGCGCTGTAAACGGAGGGTATGTGGGTGGACAGTTGGTCGAAGCACAACCAGGGCGGCCTCTTCCACCAATAATGCCATGCTGAGCTGGCAACAAGTTTTGAGAAAGGCTGCCCGGGCTGTACAGTAATTTACGCCCCTTCAAGCGCTCTCGTAATTTCCAGGAATAATCAGTGTACATATACAGGGGGGGGGCAAAAAAAAGACATTTCGACCGAGTCACATATCAGCAAAGTTTTCGCAGCCCAGAAGAGACGTGGATACGAGTACCAGGGCGGAAGATACCCAAGATGTTCCTCGATAAGCAGGAGCTGGCTCTCGCCCATCACCTTCATGTACACCAAAATATGAAGTCATCTCCAGTCGCACCTGACTGGAGAAGACCTTCGGAATTCATGTCACCTCCGAACAGCTGCGAAACTTCTAGTATGGAGTCACCCATAAATAGCTACCTGGAGAGCAGTACTCTCGATCTGGAAGACCTCCATCATCGAACGTCGCTACGGTCTAGGACATCATCTTCACCTCAGTCGCCAAGGCGCCAGTTGATGGTGGGGACCGGACGTACCTGGAATGGAGAGACCGATATTTTCTTCGTGGGCCCGGAGGTGAGCGCTGGCGGTTACATCGAGCAACTCGAGAAGAATATCCTCCCCACATGTCGTCGCCCGTACCTTCTTGGAAACTTTGTACTGCTACAGCATTGGGTGCCACCACATGGAATCAAAGGGCGTTGGAAAACTTGCCTACTTGGAATGGAAGGGCGTTGAGTACCTGAAGAAGGTGGAATATCTAAGCAGGTCCCTAAACCGCTCAATTATCTGTTTGGGCGAGTTCAATAGGGTGGTCTACAGTGGCGGAGAAATCAACGATCTCGCTGAACTCACGCACCCACTGACGGTCGCGTGGCAGAATCTCTCGATGGCGCTCCTCCAGAAGGCTGTGGCGGAGTATCATGATAGTATTTAATATGCTCTTAATATGGTGGTAAAAATGTCCGATAAGAATTTAATAAAGTGTAACTTATAGCGCCTCGAAAGTCGAGGAAGAAAAAAGTCTTTTTTTTGGCTCCCCTGTATTGGACAGATCACTGTATGTATAGTTGATAACCTCCGCATTATGAGAGGAGTGTGAGCTCACCCCGGCAGCTTTTCCTACCAATAAGTGATCGGTTAGTGACCGATTTATGAAGAAAACAACTACTGGTGGAAATGCCGCGGGTGCTCCCATGGAACTGCCCCGATTGCCGCGATTTCAACTGTGCAACTTTAGAGGGTAGTTCCTGGATGCGTAGCGATTATCGCTGTAATCGGACGGAGCAGAGACGAAAGGCGTGAAATGAGCCCATTCTAGGCTGATTTGCCCGCCTCGGTGGTCACTCGGAAGGAGACAGCCATTGGTAGGAAAGCCGCTGGTGGGCTCATTCCATGCCTCCTGAACCACCCGCCGTATTGCAACGTTATCACCTAGATGTGTGCCGTTATCGCCTGATACATTCGTGTGCATGGACATTCAGACGGTTCAGAAGAGAGCTGAGGAAAAACTGATTTTCTATGATTCTAGCAAGGTGAAGGGCGCACGAGAGAATTACTGGCCCATGGGATCAGCAGGCGCATAGTGGGACAACGTCCAGC